ACGTACGAAATTACGGTGCATAACTTTTCGTACGATTTCATACGCACTCATAAGGAGAATATGTTGACTATCACTATGACATCCTGACATCCCTAACCACCGATGGGAGCTATGCAGACTCACACAATCACAGCTGACAGGACATGTAAGCAGAACCCAACTTACAGAGTTTAGCAAAATTATATTTATTCACATGCACTCTGTCTTACACGTGTTAATATATACACTTAATATGTTTTGGGTTTTATAAGAAAGAGCTACATAAAGTTGTTAAATTTCTGTAACTTCATTGTTTGTAGTTCTTTTCCTAGAAGGCTGTAGTCCTAATTTGATCAGCATGATCTATGTGTGTGTCTATAACATCTGTAAGGCTGAGGGCTGCCTGGATTCAGCACAGCAGTCTGGAACTCCTTCTGTACCCTGGATAGAATATCCTGTGAAAAGGTGAAGGGATAGGAGCTAGGAACAGGAGGTGGGAGCTATACTTTGAGGTATTCGGATGGAGCCTAGTTCTCTAGTCCTGCTAACGACTTCACTATTTGATCAAGGCGTGTTGAAGCAGAGACACATTGAAGAGGACATCAGCCCACAAGGCTAGGAGTTTAGCAGCCGGCAGAGGAGTGTAATGGGGTTTTGGATCTCCATAAATGGATCTATGGAACAAGAAGTAAGAAGAAAGCATGTGTGTTTTTTTTAAAGTGGAGAGGACGATTTTTTTTTAAAAGATTTGTTAAAATCCTCTACTATACCTTTAAATAGCTGTTGATCGAAATATGAAGGCCTCATACCTTCTTTACTTGAAAGGAAATGTTCAGTACAAAATATTATAATGTTTAACTTTGTGTGGGACATGAACATTATTTATATTGATGAAAAAGGAAGAAAACAAGTTGGATAAAAATATTTTGTCCATTTCAGTCACCTATATACAGAAAATGTTTCAGACTGCAAAACATAAGTATAGAGTGTTTAGCATAATACAACATGGACGTTTTTAGGTGCAGCAAGTCAAGGAAGAATATATATAACAGATGTTCTAAAACTCATCAAACTTTTGAGAGTAGAATAAAAGTTTTACATTTTGACAGAAGTATCTTAAATGTTTAATATGTATTTAATTTCTGGGTTGTTAAAAAATCCAAACCTTTGCATAATTTGTAGAGAAATTAGCCTATAGACTGCTTTATAGAAACATAAAAGAACAATTATTAGCTCTGGCTAAATGGATTGACATCTATTTTTATATAATCTACTATGTCAGATAAGGAGTTGCGGTTAATTTCCCCGCTGGGAGGCCATCTTCTACTGTCGACAGTGACTCATCAGCCTTCTGCTTTCCACCCACCTACGGTCATGATCACCCTGCACAGAGCCTCTCCAAAGGGCCAACGGACCAAAGCCAGCTGCAGGGCGATGAAAGGCAGGCTCATCATGCACAGAACATCTGCCACTGCCAGGTTCAGGATGTAAATGTTGGTCACCGTCTTCATTTTGGCATAACGTAGGATTACGTAGATCACCAGGGTGTTTCCACATAGTCCCACAGCACAAACCATGAAGTTGATAAAGGTGAGGACGACTGAGCTGGTTTTATCCTGATGAAGCTCCCGGTGATCTGAGTAGTTGGCATTCAGGTCCGACTCATTCTCTGGGATGTAGGTGTCGTACAAGAGGGGTTCGGGGATGGTGATGTTAGGGGATGCTGGGAGGAAGGGCCACAGATCCAACGCCATGACTTCAAAACTTTTTGTTTATCAAAGAGGCTATTCTTTTAAAGATCAAGGTGATATGAAAGATGTTACATAGAGTATGGGAACGGGCCTTACTTTGTACGTCAAAGCATAGATTTTACTGAACAATCAAAGAGAAGTTTAAAAGGATTCCTTAAGGTTTTAAACCCGGATAAAAACAATAGTCTGGGGTAAGGGGGAACTTTGTAGTCTGAAGGGGTTGGGCATCTGGGGAGTGGGATGACTGGGGACTTTAATGTTCACTGAGCCTCTGTGATCACATTCCAGCGGCAAAGAGGAGACAAAATAGACCAAAAATGGATCTATGGAGAAAGAAGTAAGAAAACAGTAAGTTTAGCTGAACAACAATGATTATTTTCTTCGTCTTGTAATAATATCACTTATGCAATATCCATGGCAACAGCAACAGGGTGACTTTACATAACTGGCTTTACACCTTCAGCTATAGTCACATTTAAAGGGTCCTTTCTCGTGATTGTGCCTTCTGATTTGTTTTTCCTCACAGCTTCTTGAAACTCGAGTAAGCTTTTGGCAGACAGACATAAACACGAGGATGGGTCAATTCAGTTTTCATGAGACGTGCTATAAAAATAACTTTTGGCCATTTTCTTCCACATTTGAGAAACGCAGTGGGGGAGTGAAAACATGAGGAGTGGTAAGCAATTCAGGGTTTTCTAACAGAACAGCTACAAGGACACAGAAACATTACCAAACAACATCCTAAACAAGCACATGGGATTTATTTATGTATTTTAGGAGTTGCAGTTGCACACGTACACATTTCTGCTTAGTCCCATCAGGGTTTCTATCTTTCTCTCACTATCTACAGCGGGCCTCAAATCCACCAAGGCTGCCAGCATTCAACCTCCGGTGTATGTGTGTGTCTGTGTGTGTGTGCCCTGCCTCCTGCATCGATGCATACATTCATAAAGGGTACGCCTGAGCAGGAGAACGTTAAGGCCACCACGCTGCAGAGATAAATGTTTATTCAATTGATCTCTGGGACAAACAGCTCTGACACTGTGGCGGGATCGCTCACCCCCACCCCCATCCGGGGTGACAGCGACTGTCTCGAAGGGGAAGATTTTGTTTCCATGAATTACATGAGATCAGCCTTAAAAGTGTAATGCTTGTGGATGAAACCATTTCACTGAGGATTATCTACAAATTATAAGTTTGTTTTATTTCTCTATAAAACCTTTCTGTAAAACTCTGAAGTGTTAAAAGACGCAATTTGGAAGATTTATTAGTCATTAGTATGGAATTTCATACAAAAACAAAGTTTTTTTCCCAAATTTCTACCAATCTTTATTTGAAAACTACTGTATTAACACAGCTGAAGCTAATAGACAAAATGGAGATTCTACTGTTTATCTTTCAACGTGTTTTACTTTAGTCAATAATATGTACCGCTAGTATGATAACAAAATGTAATAAACAGGAAATTAACAATTGTTCCTACTGCTGCTGAAATATTAAAGTTTAATGATTATTACAAATATGATAATCATGACAGAAAAAGTTGTTTTTACCATTATTTTATGTCCCCAATAAATACAAGAATTTAAAGAGAATAAGAATAAAAAACAGCTAAATGTGGAGTATTTAAACAGCCATTAATAAAAGTTATTTCTCATTCATGCCGTTCTTGCTTTTATAGAATAAGAAATAATGCAATATAACATTATAAGCTAAGTAACTAGCCTGCAGTCTGCTGCTTTACAAAAAAACAGTTTCTAGCTTGCCAACAAAAGTTTTAAAATTTTACCGGCAGAGTAAAAGATGATTCCAGATTTATTTCTTTATTAAAATCTAGAAATAAACGTAGGGGCCTTATGTTAACCAGCACCCACCATCAGGTGGATGGGGGTGGGGGTAGCGCTATTAACACCAGTTTTAATTCTAAACCTTTATTTCATTTTAGGCATTTAAAACACAACTTTCTAAACTCTTGGTATATCTAAGTAAAGTATGGAGCACTGACAAGCTGTTATAGAATGATGACCATGAAAAAGAGATCACACAGTTTTAACATTATTAAAACAAAAATGTTTGAAACCATTGACTAATTTCTTCATCAAAAGCAGAAAATCAACAATAATTCATAATCCTACCCATGCTTAAACTGTCCAACATAAGGACTATTACAGTTGCCATGGGAGAGGGGTGGGTTGGTTGCTGGGTGGCAGGGGCTCAGTATTTAACAAAGCTACATCTACCATCTCAATAAAGGGATTTTTATTCCTAAAAAATGTACGGTAGTAAATTCTAGTGGTTTTAAAACTGATTTCTTGAGCCTCAGTTTGCCTGTAGCTTTTCTATGGCAGTAGGTTTAGGTCCATCATCTGCATAAGGCAAAGATTCAGGGCAGGATTTCCAAGGTTAAGAATTAAACAATTGTTTTTAATCATGAAAAGTCTGTTTTTTTACCCAATTGAAAGCAGGACGTGTAAAATTCTTGTGAAATTTTATTCTTCATATGTCCATGCCACTTGAGTCAGGAATATTAGTGAGTTCTGCTAAAATACAGCAGAGTTCAGAAATGATTAAGTCCGTCACAGTTGATAACAGCAGCTAGAAAGGGGTGGGAGGTAGTTGCTAAATTTAATTGTATTATTTGAGTCTTTTTTTAATTTTTGCATGATATTATGGAGCCTAAAGATTTGATCATGTTAAGAAAATTGAATCCGCAATTTTAATCGGTGCTTCAATAAAGATACTAGAGAGAACATTGATATATTTAAAAGGATTGAATGAGAAATGAGAAACAGGACTATTTTCTGCAGAAAGCCGTGGTAATTATGTATCATCCTAGGGTTAAATGTATTTGTAATAATCTAGGATTTTCATTACAAAGAAGAAAAGCTAATTTGGTTGTTGCTGCAAACAGAAACTCTAATGAGCTTTTTCCAAATTGCAGTGTCCTTGCAGCTTGTCTCATCTCAGCTCTGCACTCTGAGTGTGAAATGATGGAGAGGGGTGATGCCAAGGGAAGCAGCATGTACAGCTCAGCTTGTTACTGCCTCACAGTTAACCTGCAGACTGCATGAAGCAAATGTCCAGATCAGGGGGAGGCTTTCAAAGAAAACCAACTAATCAGGTCACATCATTTTAGTCTTTTAAGTAAGTAGACACTGAAGAAAATGCATTTGATTTAAAAAATTAGGATATTTTGGTGAAAACAAATGCATCTCTTGTTTTTTTTTTTTCTTTTAATGAGCTTATTATACTTTTTCCTTTGATTTTGAGCAGATCTGAAGGTTTTATTGACATTTCTAATAGTGCAACAAACCAAACTTTAAACAAGCATAGGAAAATGATTTGGTTCCCAAATCTATCTAATCACCAAAAACTAAAGCGGACCCTGTTGCTCACACCGATTAATAACCTTAATGAGTTCACCTGGCAGACTAAATGGGACTATCTCTACACAGAATCTTAACTTATCAAAAGCGAAATATCTGATGCCATTTTCTCGCCTTTTTGACTTACATTTAGAGAGCTTCATCTTCACTGTATGGCGTCCAAGTTGTCCCGCGGTAGAGCTCGCCTAGTCCCGCCGCTCCGAAGCGGCTCCGACCCGCTGGAAAGCCGCATCCCTCCAGCCTCTCCATCCACCTGCTCCCCGCACGGTTACGCACGGCAGCTTCTATCAGAGCCGCCGTCCACCCTGCATTTCTCTGGTTTTTTCTTTTAATGTATTTATGTATTCACATCTATCTTCAAGAAATATTCCCAATCTTAGAGGCTGAAGCAGTGAAAGAGTCTGAAGGCACCGCGCGCTCAGCGTGCGCGACCGTACTGGTCTTGGCACCGCGGTCTCCTCGATGAGTGCGGCGGGACGCACGGTTGCCCAGAGAGATAGGAGGAAAGGAGGGCGGCTGATGATGGTCTGAGACAGATTAATAGAAACATTGAACGCGTCACCGCTTGTGCGTTGGTGTGCGGTAATTTGCTGATTTGAGTCATGAGTTGGCTTTATTTTCCTCCCTTTTTCAACAAACTACACGTTCTGCATGTATAAACTGGATACCTGCAATAATGAATACGGATAGAGATATATAAAGGGGATTTACTGAAATCAAAAAATGAAACATAGATTCATCACACAGCAGGAAAGGTCATTTAGGATTTTATTTTTGGGTTAAAATCTTTCATATGGAGACCTGGAGGTCATATAATCCCACAAATCCACAGGAATGCATGGTATGGCCTTAGGACCACCACTGACTTTTTTCCATTACAGTTCTCCAATAAGCAGCTACAAAAGCAGCACCTGGCTGCTGTATCTAAGCATGTTACTGGAAAGTTAAGTGGAGGAAAAAAGTTTGGGAGAAAAAGAAAACAATAGCACATAGCAGTTTGAATGTATTCACACTTATTAATAGATTTGATTAATGTTTTTAATAATGGCTTGATATTATTAGGAAAACATAATATTATTAATATTGTCATCAAATTGTTTGGTCATGTTTTGCCCTCCTTTGGTCCTTTTTCCTTCCCATTCATTCTGTTGCAATTCCTGGTTACAGTATTTTGTTTGCAAAGATCTAGATCAAGTGAGGACATGAAAGGTAGTAAAATTTCCTCCAACTGTCCACAAATATCTTGATTAAATTATGTTTAAATTGCGGACTAATAACAGCCTGTCAAATTCTCAGTCTGAGCTGTCCTTTGCGACTGAGATGACGCACATCTGAAATATTGTGCAGACATGGAGCAAACTCTTCAGTCTACAAATAAAGGGAAACACATTGGATGTGTCTTGCTGAATGCACTGACGCATCTGGCAAATGAAAAATATTTGAAGGTGTTGATGTTTTTTCTTTTTAAATATTAGATTTTTTTCTGTCCTCCATTCAACACTGATGCTCAAGTTGATCCTAAATTTCTTATTTGTTTATGTAAACTCAATCTGCTGGATTTGTTCAGTGATCATTAATGATCTGCCTCTTCAGCTAACCTTTAGGTGAATGCAATGTACATCCTGGAATTCAAGACATTAGAAGCATTATATCTAGACTAAGAATAAAAAGACTGTTACTCAGTGGTTTAAAATAATCTTTCTCTCAAAGTTGCTATCCTTGAGTCTGAAAAAAAAACAAACATTTTGAAACATAGAATCCTTGCTGCGTTGGGTCCAGTGTGACATTTTCATGATCAAGTAACAGTTTTTTTTTTGCCAAATCCCAAGAAATCTAACAAAATATTTTAAAGCTGTCTTCCGCAGACAAACTCAATGAAGGAGCTGATTTCATTTACCTATTGCTAATGAAAAATATCAGTATTTCTTTTAATTACCGCTGTGGACTGAGCAGCAAACTGCCTTGACCTAAATTTTCACAGAGCTTGTATGGGGTAATTCAATGCAGAAGATCAGAGACACCAGAGCCCACAATTCAAACAAGCTGGAGTATGTTGTTAAAGAAAACACCTCAGCAGAAGCAAAGGCCGATCGCCTTCATGCCAAGCCACATTTATACAGGAATCTACCAAAGGAATCCTGGCACTGCAATGTCTAATGCATAAGCATACCTTATAGCACACCCGGAAAACTGTAAAACTTGTTTATAATGGATATCAAGTGCAATTTTATTATCATCATCACACAATTTCTCCAACAAAAATAAAATGTTTGTTTTTCACAAGCATTAATAATCAAAATGAACAGAACCAAACCATTAGAATGAATCATGCTATGTATAGCAGTCACTCCTTGTCTTGAACAGTTTAAATACATTTGATTTTCAATTATCTTCTGATAAAGTTTATTTGGCGCATACTGTACCTGAACTCTCGGGGGCCTGAGTGCTTCCCCTCCTGATTTTGCAGAGATATTTCAATTTGATGCTTCTTGCCAAGATGAAAAAAGAACAAATCAACAGCAGGATGCTGCGAGAAAAAGATACTGCAAACTTAGAGTATCTTCAGATTCAGCAACTTCCCCTGAAATTATCCTAAAGTGCAATCCAGGCCTTGCACGTGCGGATAATGATGGTGCACGCTGTCAGCCAACAGTTCTGGCATTTGGACATGTAGAATAGAGCGGGATGAAAAGCCTCTTCTCCCCTGTCTTTATATGAAGGAGGCATTTTCAAGCAGAGTATGGTTGACTGGTATATCTTTCATGACCTCTCTCAGAGTAGAACTTCATGGGAAAATGTCCTGCACTCATCTCAACATAGCAACACCAAAGTGCAGCTATTATTACCACCAGCTGTTGTCTTATCAAAGATTTATAGCTCTATTTATGTCCAAAATGATTGGAAGGATTGAAGATAGTCAGAGAGGGGAAAAGGGCACAAGAAGTTAATAGGAAAGGATATTCTCTATGACCGTTTGTCTAGAGTTGGGCTTTGATTACAACTGGCGTGGAGTAACTAGAGTTCTCAAAGCATGTCAGATAGTTCAGATAATAAACCTGAGAAGAATAAAAAAAAATCTAATTGATGATCTTATGAAATATGTTACAAGTGACATGACCCTTAACAAAATTATCCACTGTTCCTTAAAAAAAAAAAAGACAACATTTCTGTTTTTCACCCCTTTCCCACATTCCTTGCCTGCATCTGATCTTCTCCATAGGCAGGTCTGCATGCTGACTGGTTTCCTCACTTATTCCTAATCACCTTAGCAAAGAATGCTCTGCAGAACTCAACTAAGTTTTCTTCACTCTTTTCGTCCATTTGCAGTGACCAGAATTAGGCCAAAATATCCTTATGTAAAGAATGTTGTTTACACATCTTTTAATGCTCCATAATACTTACGGTTCCTGGATTGTCTCACCGGCTCTTATATGAACTTACACCCACTTTCAGCTTCCTAAAGTAATTTATTCTCAATTACCTAAGATTAACTCATTCTCATGACTCTGACTGGTCTTGAGCCATGTTTTGTTCTATCATTGGTATGTGACAGCAGTTGACCTGAATAGTAAAAGATTTGAATGTAAGAAACTTGCACCCAGCTCCCATTGAGCTTTTATTGTCATCCACCAAATACAAAATGGTTTTCACCTTATAAGGGAATTGTTTTGATCCAGGGATTAAGATTTTTTAAAAAGCTTTAAATACTCAGTTTCAACTGAAAGTTTTTAAAAACAGCAGCTTTGATTCTTTAAATGGTGTCACTCTCATGACTGAAACAGAAACACCCTCCACTAGCCAATCACGTCTCAGGCTCATCTTGGATCACTTGGAAGCCTGGCCAAGCAGATACTAAAAAAGAAGCTGGTATCAAGTACCAGCAGGACCTCTCCACATGTTCCTGTCCAGTGTAATGTCTTCCAAGTTTCCCAGTGGTATTTGGAAGTACCTCAGGTTAACCTCAATACTGTCCTTTTTCTGCTTTTTGCGACCACCATGACTTGTTTACCTTCCTATGGTAGCATGTTTTGGACGTAGGGGTGATGTAGATATTTCATGGTGCTGCCATAGTAATGCTGGTCATGCTGGTAGTTTCCAAACTGCTGATGTAGGCGCTTTCGTCCTCCCACCTGACCCTAAATGATATTTAGTGGATGTGTTCCAGGGCTATCAGATGTCTGCTATTAAAAATCAAAAGGGAATCTTAAGGCTGCAGAATTTGAGGAGGGGGTTTATCTAACAACATAACAACCAATAATAAACAGTCCAACTTAGAATGGAATGGGTTACATAAAATGTTTCTAGTCGTGCAAAGCTGAAGATGTGTAGCTCTTATTAGAAATGCTAATCACATTTTAAGTGGGTTTAAGTTGCAAATAGTTTTGAACACTTCACAGTATTGACTTTTTGGTTGTTTAATGATATAATAAAAGAGTGATAAAGACTGATTGTTATTTAAGAAGAATGTAAACCACTCAAGTACGTTTTCAAATATCCCATTGATGACAATAGGATTAAGTTATTGATTCGCATCTAAATTCTTAATTTTGTGTCTAAACTCCTATTTCTTTATACCTTGATCACCTTCTTCAAGTATGTGTAATTGCTTAAGAACATTACAGGGACAAGTCCACTTCACTGTGTTTTGACGCCCATATTAAGTTTGGAGAGGAAATGAGACATCGCCTCAGGGTCTGATCTCAGGGACAGTCTGTATCTGGCTCGCTGAGAAAGCAGCAGAGCATCTCTATAGCAGACTCACAGCTAAATGTGTGTCTGGATAAATCTCATACTGTGTTCTGAATAAATTACTTTTCATTGCCAGTGCATAACTGAACTTAAGTGGTTTGGCATAGGGAGCTAAGGTCACCATCTCACCTTCACTTCAGTCTCTAAAAAAAGGCATTATGTGTAAGTGGAGGTTTAGCCATGAGAAAAAAAAAAAAGTATTGCAAAAAAAAAAAAAAAAAAAACCCTCTAAAAATCCTGAGGCCTTTTATTTATACACCTTTTAGACTACACTTTCAATCCACTTTATAAAGGGCCTGGGCTTGATAGACTGAAGTGGACATTCAAACCCAAAATGTTTTGTTCCCCACTTGTTTGATGTTAGAGCAAGACAACAACACATGTGTTCATTCTTCAATTATATGAATATATACTCATGTCCAAAGTGTTTTGCATACAGTTCTAAGCATCCACTCAGAAAACTCAACTGCTCTCCGTCATTTAAATGCTAAAAGCCATTTGATTACAAGCATGAACTTATATCTAATGCAACTACTGATCCAAAAAACATACATTTTGAAGTTGACACTTTTGCACTTGTGAGGGAAATACTACTCTGTGGCTGTCATCACCAAGGAAGTACCACTTAAAAAAAAAACAAAAAAACATCTAACTGCCCATTATCTCAATTAATGTAGCATATAAAAGATATCAATATGATAAAA